ATTACTTTAAAATGTACAGATCATTAAGCACATAATATGTTGTTGAGCCAAGAGAGGTTTCAGTTTTTCTTTGGAGCGGTCGTCAACAATTAAATTCTTTAATTTAAAACGAATTTTCGTGTACTCAAATGTTTGATCATCATAAAGGAGGGTGGATGACCTCGAACCTCATAATTAAAAGGCTATATCTAAAAAACCTTATCATTTATAATAATTCATAAAATGACAATATAATCACTCTGAATATTGCTCTTAGAAGAATCTCCAAAAGATGTAGCAATTGAATAGAAAGTTAAATTTGTTGTCGCGCAAGAAACATGTATCTCAATCAGAGGGAGTAACCCTTAGCAAATTGAAAAATTAGTAATTGACCTTGCATTTCTTCAATTGCGCAAATTAAGTCCCACTATATATTTTGCTAAAAATATTATTTAGTAAAGATTTTGAAACTAAAATTTGGGCTTAGACGATAAGATAAAAGTTAAACATATTTATATTTTAAATTGAAGGATGAAAGTTGAAGAGTTAGTTGAAAATTAAGTTGGAGTGACAAATTTTTAAAGTAGTATAGTGTCAAATGGGTTAACAAATAACACTTTACGAAAATTTTACTAGCTCCCTTAGAGATTGCCTAAGATGGTGTTTAGAAGATTTACATATTTTGATGAAATTTGTCAAATACGTACTGTAAATTTCCCTTTTCTTTGTTCTATAGATCATCAGCATAGCATGCACTTACGTGAACGTTCTTTTTCCTTCAGCAAGCATGAATTCTGAGAAAAGCTTTACGTAATTTACGCACTCTTGCATGAAATACTTAATAAACAAAGACGTACGCGTACGTGTCTATATATATATATATATATATATATATATATATATATATTATGCAAAACTCATAGACTCACAATACATCTAAAATTCAGCTCAACAAAATAAGAAAATTTATCATAAGTGCAAGCACACAAATTTAAAATTGTAACATTCAAAACTCGATCGTTCTTATCTTGTTGAATCTTGACATTTTCTAATCCTCGATCAAGAGACTCGCAAATATCCCCAAGAACAACACGATCATGTATTATCGTCTTGTTAAATTAGTTTTGTACTTTACACACACACACACACACACATATACATATGGACCTCCATTAAATCTAAGATTATAAATCTTCATCTTGTTTAAGGATTAACGGGAAGATATGCAGCTATGTTTTTAGTCATATTTTATGTTTTGCAGAGATAGTACATATCTCAGATCCATCTCAGAATTATTAAATCGGATTGCATAAAAATTCCGACAAAAATATTCGTTTTATGTTCCGTATATCTTTGGATTTTTATCCATAAGAGAAAACTGTTTTCAGTCAGGTGTTTGTCTCTAAATTTCAGTTAGACTTTTCTTCTCCTTCGGAAGGAACAAAATTAAAGGGAAAAAACCTTAATTTACTGAAAGACAGATACCTGGTTTCCAGTCGGAGAAAGAAGGTAGTCACGATCTTTGGAGGCCAGGAGAGATGAGACTCTTGAGCTCGAGACGGGGTCGGAGGCAGCAGCGCCACCACACCCACCACCACCACCACCGTTGCTTACTGCAGCTTCAGAACCATGACTGATCTTCACGTTCATCTCCCTCATATCGATCTCTTTCTCTGCCACTGGCACAATATGGATTGAAGACAGAAGAGAGAGAGAGCGCTGTAGGAGCTCAAGAAAAATCAATCAAAAATAGTAGAGCCTCCACTACTATCCTTCCAACTCCTTATATTCCATTCCAAAGAACCTTATTCCAACACGTCATTACATCCAATACTAATTAAGCCCCCCTCCCCATCATACATACATCCGAAAATCTGCCCCCAACCCAACCCTAGAGACTCTGATTTCCTACTTCTCAATTGCTTTTTGCAAAACTGCTACTTCTCCAATCACTACCTCGTTTTGTACCCAAAAAAAACCAACTTTTAGTCTGTCCTTAGTGTGAAAGGTCAACCATAACCAACCAGAAGGTGACACACGTCTAGGTCTTTGAATGGTGGATAGCTATGAATTCTAATTATCAAGGCAAAGGAGGCTAGGTCCGTGTAGTCATAAAAGGACTTTTGAGTAGATGGTTTTTGATTTATAAAAGCCAAAACCAACAGAGGGACACATGTCCGTCGCTACTTATTTCCATTCTCTTTAATAAACTTTTATATTCATGCTTTTTCCAGGAAAATGTGAGCCCCTTCACGCACCAGCTGCATTATTTTTTTTAGAATAATCTTTGCAAATCTCTTGGGACTGACGTATTTTTATTTTGCAAATTTTAAAAGGAGTTCCTAGTTTTATGGTAAAATATTTCAAACAGAGACTGTTTAGCAATATGAACAGGTCAAATAATTGAACCGTTCATCGTTTATACATTTTGTTGGTTTATTGATATTCATTTCGAATAAAATTTTTATTACTTATTTTGTCAACTAATTTTTGGTTAAATTTCAATTTTCTTTAACCATAAATCAAGGTCACGTAAGCAAATTTAAAAAAAATAAAATAAAAATTATATCCTCGTTGCAATCAAATTCTTACTTTGCAACTGAGTACATTCGGATTATTGTCTTCTCGTGATTTGCCCTCTTTATTTGTGGAATTTTTCAGGTCGACGGGCCGAGGGCCCACTCTAACAACACCGATACTGTCCTCACTTAACCACCTGCACAATCCTCAGGTGTGGGGTTTTATCACAAAAGGCCTCGATATTAGTTAGAGAGGGGTATTTCTATTTAAAGCACTCTTTTCTTCTCCCTCTGTCCGATGTGGGACTGGGGTTCCAACACTCCCCCGCACGTGAGACCCCACTTATGGGTCACACGTGAATTTCCACACATCGGCAACCACGTGGAGCCATGTCGGGACTCACCCAATCACGCGGGGCCAATGGGGACCCACCCAAACACGTGGCATCTTTGGCCTACGTGGACAATCACGCGGGGCCAACGGGGACCCACCCAATCACGTGGCAGTACGGGCCCGCCTCCTGGCTCTGATACCATGTGGAATTTTTGATGTGTATTTCATATCAAAACAATTACAAGATGAAACATTATATAGGAAAAGAAAGAGAACATAAGCCTAACTTGCCTAACTTGCCTAATTTCCTAACTTGCTATTTCATATCAAAACAATTACAAAATGAAACATATATATAGGAAAAGAAAGTAGACATAAGCCTAACTTGCCTAACTTGCCTAACTTGCCTAATTTACACAAGGAAGGTTGACTAGCCTAACTTCACTAGTCATCCAACATGTTTATTTCATGCATGCATTTTAACAAAAGATATGACTTGCATGCATTCCAACACTCCCCCTCAAGCTGGATCGAGGGGATTCCTTGAGCCAAGCTTGGACAGAATGCGCATGAACTGAATCGTAGGAAGAGGTTTAGTAAAAATAACGCTTTGCTTCTTGCTGCGCCATGTTACCAAATTCCCACTTGAAATGGCTTCGTGCCGCAAACAAACAGTAATAGCTTCGTGCCGCAAACAAACAAACTTGAAATGGCTTCGTGCCGCAAACAAAGAATAATGGCTTCGTGCCACAAACTTGAACAACGTTAGGTAGAGCTAAAGCATCCATCGAGCTCTCAGCTTCATAATGTTCTCCAGCCATCTTGGCTTAGAGTAAAAGTTCTCCAGCCATCTTGGCTTAGAGTAAATGTTCTCCAGCCATCTTGGCTTAGAGTAAAAGAAACTTAGCGGAAACGATCAACAGAGCATCCATCGAGCACTCAGCTTCATAATGTTCTCCAGCCATCTTGGCTTAGAGTAAAAGTTCTCCAGCCATCTTGGCTTAGAGTAAATGTTCTCCAGCCATCTTGGCTTAGAGTAAAAGAAACTTAGCGGAAACGATCAATAGAGCCAGGAATTTAGAGTTCCTGCTCTGATACCATGTAGAATTTTGGATGTGTATTTCATGAAGAAACAATTACAAATGAAACATATATATAGGAAAAGAAAGTAGACATAAGCTTAACTTGCCTAACTTGCCTAACTTGCCTAATTTACACAAGGAAGGTTGACTAGCCTAACTTCACTAGTCATCCAACATGTTTATTTCATGCATGCATTTTAACAAAAGATATTACTTGCATGCATTCCAACATTATTCAAATCTATTTCTCTTTTTAACATAACACATCTCGTGGTCAAATAAATAACCACGAAAAATTTTGCCGTTTTATATAAGTTATTCTTGAAAAATGGTTCTTTTCAGATTCATTCCTCCTAATTTATCAAATTAGAGAATTTGTGCTCTTGAAATTTGATATAACGATTACAAACAAAAACTCACTTTAAAAGTTATAATAATTATAATCGTTGGATTAAATTTTAATGATATAGATTCCTTAATTAGTAGATTAGAAGGAAATAATTCGAAGATGATGCCTTTCCGTCATTCTCCTTCTCCACCCGCCAAACTAGAGTGACCAGTTAGGTTTTTAGAAACCATCAAAACGCAACAACTTAGGGTAACGTGGAGCTCTACATAATCAAGTTGCAGGGTTTTGCCCCAGTAACCCTAATCCAAAACGATTTAGAATCTAACGTGGTCCCACCGGAAGCTATCGGCCGAACATCGAGGCCACCTGTCTTTCCTGGCTGCATCGTCCAAGCAAGAAAAAGCCAAAAGTGATCGTCGTCCAAGCAGAGATCGTGAACTGCAAGACAGCCAGCGTTGGGTCGTGGCCGATTGAGGAAGACACACGTGGAATGTTTTGTCTACACGCCTGATTTAGAGTCTTTGGGAAAGTAGTTCGGGCGGGGGCCCACCACCCAAGGTTGACTCACGTGGGTCGTCGTTAGCTGATGACAAGTGCCTAAGTTTGGTTATCTTCTTAATCTTTGTTTAAACAACATGGTAGGTTTTCGATTGGGATCATTTTTTTGTATTTTTAATAATAAAACTGATATCTAACACATTAGTATAAATATATTCCCATACAGACTTTGTGAAGAGGCTAGTAGCATTATGGAAATGAAATACCCTTCTGAACTTCTTCCCTCGGATTCGAAGCTCTCAACTCCTTTTGTTCCCTTCTCTCTAAAAAAAAAACAAACTTATTGAAAAAAAAGAAGGAAAAAACAAAACCAGAGTTATTAGGCCCAACGACGAATCGGCAAGGCACTGTGTGCAATCGTTAGTTGGAATTTAAGTACGAATCTCTCTTTTCATATTATCATCTCCTTTCTTCTCATTCTCTCACACTTTTCTCTTTGTTTTTTTCTCTATACAAAAAGTTCAAAACAAAATGTTAACGTGACTTAATAGTAACCGTTTAAAATTTCTCTTGACCACCATTTTAGGCGCCGATTCTAGCTTCGGTTAGAGTCGGTTGCCACTTTTTCTTTTCCTTTGTTTTCTCCTTTTTTTCCCTTCTTTGCTGCTTTTTCCCCCTCATCCTCATCTTGATTTGCCCTCTTCTTCTTCCCTTGTTGTCATCCCTCTTCCTCCTTCATCTGCGTTTCGATCTTTAGCCACACTTGCGTTCGAGTTGGTGCTATGAGTTTCGGTGTTTCGATCGACTCAGGTGTTCCCAACACCACCACCTTATCTTTGTTGTTTGCCAGATTGACAGTGTTGCTCATGGTGTTCCATGGGCTTCCTTTGATTGATAACCAACTGATTTCCTTCTGTTTTTTGTTATCCTTACTTTATGGTTGTGCTCAGGGAGCAGATCAGTGCTGGATGATACGATCAAAGAGGTGATGTTTAGCGGTGGGCATGGATTTCTGCAGGTTGAGATGCACTGTCTTGGAGGAGGCGGTAGTAGCGGACTTCTTGACTTTTGTTTGTTTTTTCTGTTTTTGGGTCTTAGCTGTTTGGTTGGGCTTTTTGTTAGTTTAGGGTTTGGCCCGTGTTTTTCTATTTTCCAGTTATAGTCCTTTTTGGGTAGTAGCGGACTTCTCGGCTTTTGTTTGTTTTTTCTGTTTTTGGGTCTTAGCTGTTTGGTTGGACTTCTCGGCTTGTGTTGTGTGTTTAATAAAATTTCCTGGTGATCTTTTTGGATCCCACTTGACCAAAAAAAATATATATATATATATAGTTGTGTTTCACGTGCGGACTAGGTTCATGTGTATCTACCTTTCATGTTACATTGGGCTTTAGGTTGTACAGTTCAAAATTAATGTTTTGGGCTAAACTGGATTTTTGTTGAATTACCCTCGACATTTACATATGCCCATGTTAATTTTTCGGATTGGATCAATTTTTTCAAATCTTGAGCCCAATTGAAAATGAAATTTCTTTCGTTTATACAAAAAGATATTTTACTTTAAATTAATCTAAGTAATAGGAAGGTGACGTAGTTTGAAGTTATAACACCAATTTGTATTATAAGTAGTATCTTATTTTTATGATCAAATGAAATGTCCCTTAATTTCCTGAGAGGGATTGTTGCTCTTAGTAGCCGCCTTCATGTCTGCAATTTTTTTTTTTTTGGTAAGGAAGCGGGGAATACAACTCTAAGCTAACTAAAACGTGAGAGGAAACAAAGGGATTTCGAAATACCCCAGAAGTATCATCCATGAACGCTGATCCAGTCCAAGCAAGAGGCTGATTGGTCATCATGTGTTTTGCTTGGGTTTGTTTGCCTTTCGGCCTAGTTGCAGCTTATTTTTATGTTTATCTCCTGTAACATCTTACATAAACGCTAAAATTCATATTAAAACTCCAGTTTGTCAACTGATCCACTGCATAATTCTTCTCCCTATAAATGTGTTTCAACTCATATATTCTCAATTGTCTTATCATTAGTCTAAAGCTTTGTATAATTGCGTCTAGAAGATTAAGGTTATCGATAGGACTTTACCAACATAATAACATCCCTGCCCTTGCCCTAAATTGACAGCAAAGCCTCCCAACTAATCTCCATGATGATCCCTTAATACACCACCAACCGCAAATTCGTCTATAATTTATCATTCTAGAGCCATCAACATTTAGTTTCCACCAACTTATGTCTGGGGGATTCCAAGCAAATCAAATTTCTCTCTTATCAGGATTAATAGAAGTGTGTGGAGTTATTTAAATTTAGGGTAAATTACATAGTAGCCCCTCAGGTTTGAGGTCTATCACAATCTCATACAACATCTTTAAAACATTTCACTTTCATACCTCACGTACTATTTTATTTCAAAATAATACATCTGTTATATTTTTCATCCATTTATCCGTTAAGTGTTGATGTGGCTACCAAATGTGTGACACGTGGCAAAACAAAGATTTTTTCAAATAAAAAAAAAATCTGAATCTTCTAAATTTAAAAAATAAAAATAAAAAAAAAGAAGAGAAATCCAAATCCCATCACCCCACCCCCTCCCCCATACCTGAACCTTGAACAAAAAAAACAAAAACCAGAAAACCCAGATCCCACCCCCCTCCCCACGCCGCTAAAGTCCAGATCTCACCAACCCCTCCTCCTCTGCACCCATCTCCACCTCCTCCGCGCACCCATCTTCCCATCTTCCCCCTCCCTCAACCCGAGCCTAACCTGCAACCCAAAAAGAAAAGAAAAAAAAAACCAGTGCATCCACCATCGCACACATCCTTTTCCATCCTCTACACACCCCACTCCATAAATCCACACTCATTGGGGAAGACGGGATCTGGGTTGCAGGGAAAGGGAGATGGGTTTTTTTTTTTCTTTCTTTTCTTTTATGGGTTGCAGGTAGTGGTGCGGAGGAGGAGGAGGTGGAGGATGGGTGCACGGTGAGTTTGGGGAAGAAAGGGGTGGGTTGCAAGGAAGGAGGGGTCGGGGAAGATGAAGATGGGTTTTTTTTGTTTTTTGTTTTTAATTTAGAAGATTCAGGTTTAAAAAAAAAAAAATTGCCACGTGGCACACATTTGGCAGCCACGTGGCATAAATGTGGTAGACACGTCAGCACTTAATGGATCAATGGATGGAAAATGTAACGGATGTATTATTTTGAAATAAAATAATACGTGAGGTATGAAAGTGAAATATTTTAAAGATGTTGTATGAGGTTGTAATCTCAAATCTAATGAGCTACTATGTAATTTACCCTTAAACTTAACTAGTAGACAAAAAGTATTAGTGATGGGAAAGGACGTCTCTTAAGTTGAGGTTAAAAAAAAAACACACCAAAAGATAGTGGCTCAACTCCACGTCCGTTAACATCCATTTTTTATGATGAATTTGCGTTGTAGTGCGTATAGACTTATCTACTCCACATTTGTACGCTTGTGACACGATATTTTAACATTAGACAAACAAAATACATCATTGCAACACTCATTGAATATCCAATGACTGATAATTGATACAAAAGTTTGGAGATTTGTTTTTGGTAAAACATTTGAGACTTTGTTTACAACTAATGCTAGCCAGACTACATTTTTTGACTAAATTTTCAAATCATGTGATGTATAACCAATAAGAAATAAGTAAGTTAATCGGCACTTAAGTAACAATTCAATCATTAACAATCACGTCATATGGTTTATTAAATTTTAGTCCAAAATAGTTGGTCTTCCTAGCATTATCATTTACTTTCTTAATGCATAAATCCAATGATTGCGGAGGAATTATGTCTTTGAAATTCCTTTTTTACTTCTCACCCTTTGGTTGGCAACACAAAGCACGCGACGTGGCAGGATTTATGGTTCCAGCTGCCCAATTCTGTGGACACACTGATCACGGACTGGATTCATTGCTCGCAATCAACGGAAATGAATGAAAAAATCATTTGTGGAAGGAATTTCAATTTTCAGGTGGGAACTCATGAATCAAAGTTTGTTCGGCTTCCAATATATACATATAATATTAGTAGGAAAATTTACGTTAAAATATGAGGTGACAGATAATCTATAGAGAAGTTACATGAGAGAATTCATGGAGAGTCACAATTTTGAAAATAAAGTTTTTTCAACATTACCTCTGAATTTTGAGCATGTTCACTTAACAAAAGTTGGAAAAATGAAGGAATCAGAGAATGTAGAAAGAAAGTAAGAATAAACAATCAGATCAACACGTAAGGGAAAGTTCCTCGTGTTTATTAATTCCAATTTCAATTTTTATTCCTTGTAGTAAACATTCTTTTATTATGAAAGCGATAGTGAAATTGGTTCCTGAGAAGGCATCTATTGTTTACAGTTGCAAGAGATGCCGATATTAAATGCCACATTCAGGAACAAATTTCACTATTTAGCATATTCCATCATATTTAGCATCTAATGTCGACATCACTTACAACTGTACCACTATTTCTTATGTCATTGTTATAGTATTGTAATTTTGTTGAATCGCTTTGTTTGAAGAAAAAAAAGAGAAGAAAAAGTCCGTAAAAATGGAAATTATATATATGTAGGTTGATACAACTCGGAAAATAATTAATTTGACAATAAACAATAACAATCTAGTGGCTAATTAATTACAATAGTTCTGTCAATAGAGTAGCAAAATGAAACCACATGCAGCTAGCTTTTGCTTTTCTTTAGTTTCGTAATCAGCACGGATTTTCAGAAACATCGAGAGACTGATCAAACCGGGTGAAGTTTTGCTCGACAAACGGGGCAAAACGAGTGCTTCGAAAGCCAGGTATCGGCGCACAGCAGATGGAAGGCGTGGTTACAGCCGGGAACCACCCGCGCCGGTTGCTCTCCCTCGATATCGTCCAAACACACCGCACATTCCCTCCTCTCCGCCATCACCTCTTTCCCCGTTATTTTAGGCAAATTGTCGAGTTCTGACGCCGACAACCCATTCTCGGAAACCTGCCTGACAGGCAGGCCAATGTTGACGGCCTGGTCGTTCGTAGCGTACCATAACAAACATACGTACACTACGAACACCGCGCTTATCGCCACGCACGGCAGAAACATCGTCAAAAACACCGAAAGCAGCATTTCGATGTTCTCTTTACGGGAATCAAACTCCTACAGTGAACCGGAAAATTCAAGTTCTATGGTAGAACTAAGGTTTTTTAGGGTGGCCGGTGAAGAAGTTGATTAGGTGAGGAGTGATGTTGTTGTGCACAACAAAACATAGCGGAAATTAGGGTTTTTCTAGAAAGACAAAACGAAAAGTTATGGGAAAATGAGAAATAATCATGGCTTGGGGAGATGGAATTCTGAGGTGGGAAAGTGAGGTGGTGACTGGCTGGGTGGTTTTACACTGTGAGTAGGCAATGGTGACGAGGATCTGTTATTTCCCCTCCGTTCACGCGTTTCGTGTTCCGCAAGTTTCTTAAAGGTGAAATATCTTGGTAGAACTATTTTCCCTCTTGGCAGTATGTTTTAAGTAAAAAATAAATTACTTAAAAACTGTTTACGATAGATATTTTCATCGATTCTCATAAAATCGACAATTTTTTAAGTTGTTTAAGATAGATATTTTCATCGACTCTCGTAAAATCGACAACTTTATTTGCTTGGAATTGCCCTTAACACTATCAATTGTATATAAATGAAATTCTTGCGTGTAACATATTGAACGCAAAAATCGAAAAACTTTTTCAAACTTCAAAATTTTTATCTAAAGGAGATTGATTATTATAAAATTAAATCAAACTCAAAATTTTGGTCTGGACTAACAAAATTATGCGTATCTCTTTGTAAACTCCTTGGGCCATTTTGGTAGATCGGATAAGGTTGGACTTTAGGTAGGGATGAGTTGCATAATCCATGTGTGTGGTTGGGTAACATAACGCATTATCTTTTCCTATTTTGAATTTGTAGCCAATCCAGTCCATATTTTAACTTTTCTTACCAAAACATTGGTTGGGGGCACAAGTACAATTTAATTGAAAATAGCTCATCTCACTCTGCATACCAAACGAGATCTTTAAGTTAGCGTGTCCCCTTATGGGCCTTTGGGCACTCAACACTCTACTAAAAAGGCCCACAAGGAACTAGGAACGTTTATTCTGTTGTTTGCCTATTGGGATTAAGGAGAGAATAGGCCCATGAAATGTGGACTAGATTCTTTGACACAAATCATAAATACTAGGTGAACTCGATTCAAACTTCCTAATTTGATGCCTTGCAAGTTACCCTACTTGTCCACGATGTCGCAGAACTCCTCACAATAATTAATACTATATTGCAAAGTGTTACAGTTTTTTTTTTTTTCTTGACAATTCTTATATGATCGCCTAACCCGAATTTCAGTTCCGTTTGACGAGTAAAACGATTTGCGCTGATGTATGTTAGGCTAGTTGGCCAAAGAAGCATACCTTTTTTTTTTAATTCGAGTTTGAACTTCTCTGCCTAAAGATTATAGAATATCACATTTTCGATATCAAAAACAGAAACATAATGAGTAACAAACAATAACTTGTCGCTCAGTATTACGGTCTAGTAGTATTTTTCTTCACTTGTAAGTGAGAGGTCTTAGGTTCAATTTTGGCTAAATGCAAATTTGAATAAAGATAATATTGTTTGTTTAAAAAAAAAACAATAACTTCTCAAAAAAATTGCGTATTTGGCTGTTTAATACAATTTCCTTCACATTATCCGCAGACACTTGGGCTGCCTGATTCTAGCAGGAGGCCCAAAGTTTAATCAATTATTTACCAACTAATTTAGCCATAAACCCGGGAAGATACAAAATTAACCATTTAATTTAGGAAACTTTAACGAAAAACTCTCAATACTGTTCATTTTAATAAAAAATTACACTTTATATTAAAAAGTTAATCATGATACTATTTACTTTACTATTTATTTTATAACTGTAGTTAAAACTTAAATTTTCAAACTCTTTTAATTAGTTTTTTATTTAATTTAATTTTGTCAAAATCCAGGGAAGATACATTTCCACAGGCGGTTCCATGCGGTCTTGGTGCAGCACAGGTGATTTGCCTTCATACGGTCCACTCGAAGAAACAGAGAGACAAAAGCGGAAGAAAAAGAATGGCGGAACCAAAGCACAGAATCCTTAAACTCGAAACAGCTTTAACGTTGTTGGTCGTGCTGGTTTTGAGCGGATGCGCGCAGAGATTGCCCCCTTCAAAATACGATGGGTTTTTGTACGGACACCACCGAGTTGACTCGGATTCGATCCTGATCGAAGCGTTCTTCGACCCGGTCTGCCCAGACAGTAGGGACGCCTGGCCGCCCCTCAAACAAGTCGTCGAGCACTACGCCCCTCGCGTCACGGTGGCAATTCACCTCTTACCGTTGCCGTAAGTAAACAGACTCCTCTCTTTCTATCTGCCTATGTCTTCGTCAGAAATTGGATAAGAACAATTAATTTATTTATTTATTTTCAAACTATAGATGTTGTTAGATTAGAGGTTAGATTAGTCATTGACGGAATTTGAGCACACGCCCTCAAGGGCTCAACAGTTTTCCACCACTGTGGTAGAGGGCCAATAAGAACAATTGAAGTCGTATAGTTTTTGAGAAATCGATTGCATGTTATGAATTTGAAGTCAGAAGCTTATGTACAACGAAAAATCAAAGCGATTAAATTAATGAAAATGAAACCGACAAATAGCCTGTTTGCAAAGTAAGGGTAAGTCTGCGTCCATCGCAAAGCGGGGAGCCTAAGAGCTTAAACCGACAAATAAACCAGGCTTAGTTTTGCAAAATTCAGACTTCGAGGCGACCTGGGTAAATTTGTAGCAGATGACCCTGATCGGTAAATGTCAAATTACTTCAAAAATCTTGTTTCTGTAACTGCAGTTACCATGACAATGCTTTCGTTACTTCTCGGGCTCTGCACATCGTAAACCAGCTGAAACCTTCTGCTACATTCCCATTGTTGGAGTGGTTCTTCAAGAATCAGGTTAAGATCACTTCATTAGTTGTTAATTTCGTAGCATATCCTTTTTTTGGTGCTGATTTATACTTGTTTTTCATTTGCTACTATCGGTCTATCTATCTATCTGCAATCTGCATTATGTAGAAATTTCTTGAATCGCTCTCGGGAATTCACTTATTCGATCCATTGCTCAGCTGCTAGGCTAATTCGCTGGATTTCGAGCTCATATTTCTTAGACGAAAGCTACTATTTGGTTGCTTGGTAGTTTATTAGCCAAGATATGTATGTGTTGTTGGTATTAAAGTTTCTGTTGATCTGAAATTGTCTCAAAAAATTAAACAGGAGAGGTATTATAATGCTCAAACTCGCAACATGTCCAGGGTTGCTGTTGTAAATGACATAGTGAACTCTGTCACAGAAGTGATTGGGAACTCCTATCACAGCGCCATTGAATTTGGCTTCAATGACCGGAAAACGGATCTGAAAACAAGGGTTTCCTTCAAGGTAATGCAGTATATGTCGTTTCTACGTTACTTATAATTTCGAATAGCTAGTATGCTTATATTGGTGTTACAATTAAGCACATTATGAAAAGTGCTACCGCACACGCAATCTCTCATTTGCAGGAGTCATACAGTTGACAATTAGAACCGTGCAGTCTTCCCAATATTCGGTTTTTCATGTTCATTGTCTTTCGTCATGCAGTTTAGCGCTTCAAGAGGGGTGTACGGAACACCTACTTTCTTTGTCAATGGATTTGTATTGCCAGATGCTGGCTCCAGTCTAGATTTTAACGGGTGGAAAAAAATCATTGATCCGTTAGTTGTTGGTAACGGGGCGCCGAAGAGCCAAGAAAATGTGCAATTCTTCTTGTGAAGGACTGAGCTAATTGCTTGATGTGCTTGGTTGGTTGAAGAATAAACTCAACAATGCTGGGTCCAGTGTAGATTTATCTGTGAATTGTAGTCATGGAATTATTGATCTGTAACAATTGTGAAAAATGCATCCAGTCTGCTTAAGACTTTTGCCCCTCTTGTCTCGTATTGCTATTTGCCTTGTTAAAGGTCATTTCATGTTGGTTGAAGTTTTCCAATTAGCAACAGCGAAGAACAGTAGAAGGGGAGGTCATTTTTTATCCAAGATAGTGTTAAGGTAATTTTTTAAGGAAAACTAATGAAAAGGGCTTGAAAACTTTGAGTTTTAACGATAATGACAAAATAAAGGGTAAAGTGAATAGTACCAGGTTTGACTTTTTAGTGTACAAATGTGGTTTTTCGTTAAAACTCTCTATTTTTTATTCAAGAAGGTGATCAGTGGTGGCTTGGCCACGGTGTCCACCCTTGGGGCCGGGAAGACTCTTAAAGGCATTTCAACCTACTTCTGGTCACCATGATTTTTGAGTCTATTTTATTTGAAACGATATATTTTTCGAAATTTGAACCTAATAAGGGCCAGTTTTGGATTACTGTGTTTTTTTTTTTTTAAATTACTTCTGATGTGCTTTAAGAATAATCAGTTGTAAAATAAAGCTGATGAGCGCTTGGCTAACTGAATTTTAAAAGTGTTATGAATTTGTGAGTATAAAAAGCAGCATAAAAGCGTTTGGTAAAATTTAATGTAAAAGTGATATAACTATATACAATAACAAATGGACATAATAGTAGGAGTGGGGGTGACGACAACAGTAGTGGTGGTTGCGGCAATAATGGTGGTAGTGGCAGTTGTGGTTGTGGTGGCAGTGATGGCGGTTGTGGTAGTGATGCATGGTGGTGGTGGTGGCGATGGCGGCATTGATGGTGGTAACAATGGTGGCGGTGGCGATGGTGGCAACAATGGTGGAGTAGAGGTAATGATGGTGGTGACAATGGTAGTGTTTACTTTTTTTCTCTAAAGGATAAAATGTGTGTGGAAAGCTAAATAATGTCACTTAAAAAAAAAAATTAATCAAGGTATACAACAATTGAAACTATTTATTAAAGACCCAACTATGCTTTTTATTAAAGTAGCTTTTAAAAGCAACCTCTATGTTGCTTTTAAAAGCTGTTGTCTGGAGCATGTTGCTTTCAAAACAGGGAGTTTTAACGAAAAGCCCACGTTACTGTTCACTTTAACGAAAAACCACATTTTTACACTAAAAAGT